GGATGACAGATCTATGTAGGGACCTGACCTCTCTACTCTATTAGGATTAGGTGGCCAGTCAGTCTTCCTGTGCAATTGTTTCTCTTAGAGAAGTGTTAGACTACAGTGCAAAGGGGGTAATGATGTGCCTGACATGTTCATCCCATGAAGGACAGTCTCACAAGCTTAGCCTGTGGCATGTAACACACAAGGAACTCCCTCTTCTATTTCAGCACCCAGGAAAATTTTCCTTTTCCCTACCATCAGTTCTGAGCACCAAAAGGCAGCCCTCAAAAATTCTTCATTAATTTCATCCATGTGTGCTTAGTATACATTCTATTCACTCTTAATATACACATGTGTGTATATTTATCTATCTATACAGATGTCAATTCTATCTTCTATGTACCAAATCTGATTACAGTGATCAGACCTTCAGAAAAAGGAACACCCATTTGACTATCACATAGATAGCCAACATACACATGGGTTAACAACCAAAATGAGCATGCATGTGAATATAGTGAAATGGCAAGTGAATCTGCACTGCTTGTTAAGTAAGGAATCACTGATGTCCAAGCAAGATCTCTGTGAGAAGAAAGGGTTTCATTCAACGCCTTCAAATTGTAATAGAAACCTTGTCCCCCTTGAGAAATTCTGCCTGTTCCTAAGACACAATTTCCCAGATATGTGTAAAGCTGCTGCTTGCTACCTGAAAATAGCACAAGTCAATCAAGGTCAGAGTGGTTGTAACTCAGGCTCTGTGAAACAACATCCACTGCAGATTGAAATCAGAATCTACTGCTTACCTTAACTTATGTTGTATGAAACATGAACAAGCTCAGTATGTGTACTCCTCTAAATGAGATTCTTTTGTGAATTTTCCTGAGATTGGTCTGAAAGACCCAAGCACTGCAGGAATGAATAGGCTGTCTCCAGAGGACTTCCAGCTGTTAGCCCAGCTCCTGTCCAAGGATTCCAAATGCAGAGCGGAAAAGGGTCCCTAAACACAAATCCGTTAGACATCTTGCTGCTAACTATGTGATACATGCAGAATGTTTCCAGAGATAAAGAATAGCCAACAAATCATGATGTTGACAGCTACTTTAGTTTATCTTTAGGTGAATTTTCCATATTGTACAGGAAATTAGGGCTTTCTCTCTCTGTCTCATATATACATAAAGAAGAAGAAAAATGAAGGGAGAGATATTCCATCTGCTGATTGACTCCCCACAGAGCTCCACAACCAGGGCTGATGCAAGCTAAAGCCAGAAGCCCTGCGCTTCATTTGAGTTTCTCCACTTGGCTCACCTTCTGCTATCTTACCAGGTGCATTGGCAGGGAGCTGGATCAGAAGTGAAGAATCCAAAACTTGAACCATTGCACTGACATGGGGTGTTGGCTTTCCAGGTAGCAGCTTACCAAATTGTGTAATAATTCCAGCCTCATGACAAGTTCCATCAGCTTTCTCAACATCTATGAAATGAACAGCACTTCTCTAAAGCCCCTTATTTGTGGCTTAAAAATGGCCAAAATTCACCAGCCATTTAGAGGATGGGAAATATGACTGTAGCAGATTGGCTATTATAAGCACAAAACTTATAACATATCATTGATTCTTACTTCTAAGTTCCTGTTACTCTCTATAAGTTTCTTCCTTAATTTAGAGGAAGAAATGAAGCTAAAGCTTTGTTCATGTTCTTGACTTTCTTAAGAAAGCTGGGGGAAATGCATGTGGACAAGACAGTTCAAGAGTAGGAAGCAAGGAAATAGCTTCATAATGAGCAGAAGATGATAGTTTTAGATTAATGGGAGTTCATGGAAAAGTCGCTAAAGAAAGGAGAGTTGTTATGATAAGGTGACTAGACAGAGCAAACAAAGATGCAATCGCAGATGAAGTATCAGACTAGAATCCTGGGACATGTAAGGAATGCTATTGATTGCTTACACTTAAATGTCTAAGAAAATATGATTCTGGGGGAGAATCAAGATGGTGGAATAGGGTAAGGACACATTTAAACGGACGGAGAAAAGCAGAGAGGACACATTCCAGGAAATAGGAAAGGACAGAACAATGGCAGAGGGGTACCTGGAGTCTGACAGACACAGGAAAGCAGTGAAAACAACGGTGTGGTGTTGCAGTCACTGATATTCCAGTGGCATTCAGCAAACAGTGATCTGAACTCCACCAAAAGCCAGAACTCCACCAGCAACCAGGTGGGAAGGGACTTTCACTGGGAGCTTGGGAGGTGAACCCAGACGAAGAATGGTCCATCCTGCTCGTCTGTTTGATTTGATCAGGAGCAGAGACAGAGCAACAGATCCCAGATGGGCAGTGCGAGAACAGAGTGATTTTCACAGCCTAGTAAGTCCCCTAGAGCTGAGTTGGGTGCCAATTTGCCTAAGGAGGCAAAGGTAAGGGAAAGGACGGAGCATATGCTGAGCTGGGAGTGAACTCATTTCTGACTCAATGAACTGCAGCAATGTGGTGTTTTACAGGTTCCACCCAAGACAGGTCTGGGTAGCCCTCAGACCTGACGGCCAGCAGATCAAGAACTCTAATAAGGGCACATCAGATTCCATTTTGTACACTGTGGCAAAAGCTTTAGGACTGCAGGGGACAACAGTGAACTGCGCATGTGCTGAGCTCATGAGAACTCACTGAGTTCCATGGATTGCACTGGTCCCACAAGAAAATAACACCGACTGTGGCATCGTACAGATCAAAATGGGTCCATGTGGCACCCAGAGCTAACATCCAACAGGTTCTGGCAAGATCAGCGCCACCAACAACCTAGCTATATAGGACACCGGGTGTCTTCCTAATCCTGTGACCTGCTCCAACCAGAAGTGGGAGAAAGGTTGTACAGACAACTGTGCAGCATCAGCATGGTATCACAGGAGTTGGAGACAGGTGATCCAGGAGTTGGGGCTACAGAGACTATGGTGGAAATCTAACATAAGAACCCAGACCTGGAACTTGCTTGAGGTTGTGGCACAAGTGGCTCCAAGCAAAGAGTTGTGTACCAACTGCAATAAGTAAAATCGCATTGTAGACCTGTGGGTGACACATCTTAGAAACCTGCCCCAAGGAGAAGACTGCTAACCAGAAGAAAATGACCAAGAGCAAAAGAAGACACAAAGGCAAAATGAATATTACTGAAAACTCCCCTGCAAAGGAGCAAATCCCTATGCCAACCTCAGAGTTAACTGAGGATGACATCGAGAAAACAGGGGACACAGAATTCAGAAAACTTATTTTAAAGCTTCTGATCAACAATGAGAACCACATACAAGAGTTCAAAGAATTTAAGGAATATTTTACACAAGCAATAGCAGAAATAAAGCAAATCAGGGTTGATATATCAGAAATTAAGACCACAGCAGAGCAAATTAAAAGTACAGTGAAGAATCTCCAAAATAGAATGAAGCAAGCAGAAGAAAGAATCTAAGAGCTGGAAGATATCCCTGTCACCAGGGGGAAGCAAACAAAAAGCTGGAAGCAGAGCTGGATCAGGCCAAAAAAAAGTATTCAAGAATTGAAAAACACTATTAAGAGGCCCAATATAAGAGTTATGTGAGTCCCAGAAGGTGCAGAAAGAGAAGCTGGTTTTACAAATACATTTAATGAAATCACAAGGGAAAATTTCCCTAATCTACAGAAAGATTTGGGAAACAACATCCGGGAGGGGCATAGAACTCCCAACAGACTCGATGAAAAGCAGTCTTTACCTCAACACATGATAATCAAGCATTCTTCAATAAAACATAAGGAAAAGATTCTTAAATGTGCACGTGAAAAAAATCAACTGACATATTAAAGGAATGGCAATTAAACTCACAGGAGACCTCTCAGAGGAAACTCTACAGGCAAGAAGAGAATGTAGTGACATATTCCAGATTCTAAAAGAAAAAAATTGTCGGTCCAGGATAATATACCCCACAAAGTTTTCTTTTGTCTTTGAAAATGAAATAAAATTCTTCCAGAGTAAAGCAAAGTTAAAAGAATTTGCCTCTTCCACACCTGCCCTACAAATGATACTTGAAGATGTTCTCTTGACAGAAAAGAGGAATAGCACTCAACAAAACCAAAGGCAAATGGGAAGAACATCCCAGTAAAATGACAACAGAAGACTAAACCAATGAACAACTCATTCCTAAAATGACAGGAACAAAGAACCACACATAGATATTAACCATGAATGTAAATGATTTAAGCTCAATCAAACGTCATAGATTAGTAGACTAGATTTAAAAAAAACCCATCTATTTGTTGTCTAGAAGAGACACATTTCAGCAACAAAAATCAGCAGAAGCTATCTCATGGATTTTGATGATTTTGTTTTTGTTAGTTTCATTTCTTCCAAAGTTTCTTGTGATTAAATTATTCAATGATTCATAGATCATACAGTAGCATCATTTTCTCAAGAAGGTTCTTGATTTTCTTTTTCATTTTTTCAGCAACACATTAATCATTCAGTAGCATGTTATTTAACTTCTTGGTGTTGTTAATTTCTTTTTTCTTCCTGTTGTTGATTTTGTTTGTGGCTTTTCATTTAAGGGGATGTATAATAGCTGTGTAATGGAGATTGTCATATCTAGGAACATGTTATTTAACTTCATGGCATTGTGAATTTCTATTTTTCTTCCTATTGTTGATTTTGTATTGTGACTTTTCATTTATGGGAATGTACAGTAACTGTGAAATGGAGACTAACATACCCATATGTGAGGATACAATGTAGTATGTATCTCTACTTCCAGACAAAGATGAACTTACAATGAAACTGTTTACTGTATCTCAACAATAGGATGCTGAACTCTGCCATTGTCCATGCCTGCAATGATGGACATATGACTGTGTATGAAGAACTATACTTTAGTAATAATATAGGGGAGCTTGTGGGAGTGTAATTGGGGAGGGGATAAAGGAAATCCCAGAAGCTTATGGAATTGTATCATAAAATGATAATAATAATTTAAAAAAACAGAAAAAAGAAAACATAATTTTTTCATTTATGATAGATTTTGTTTGACCTTGACCAGTAAAGTGCTATTTTATAGGTTTTTAAATGGCTCATGACATTGAAAGGTCCGTGTGTGTGTGTGTGTGTGTGTGTGTGAAAGAGAGAACGAGATTGAAAAGAAAGTGATCCTTTTTGAAAGTATTTGAAGTAAGATCAGCTGTTCAATGCCTAAAGTTAATTCCGTTACACACAAAAATAGACCCTGTAAGAATTGTGTGGTGTCATATTTAACCAGTGTGACTAAAATAGACTCTGTTTATAAACTTATTTTCTGATGACTGTATCATATTTCCTGGGCACCTCCTTGAATAACAGGAGAAATAAATAGGTAATAGTTGCTTCACTATTAAGCCTACCTCCATTTTATTTATTGGCATTTAGTCATTACTTCAATGTCACAAATGAGGGTGAATAGAGACTTCCAGAAAGCCTCTTCCCTTGGCAAATCAGTCTGTGGTTTGAGTGAGTTCAGCAATATTTTGCATATGCAGAACTAAAAGCATTTCTTCTGGATAGCTGACCTATTTGAGGATATGGCTGTTGGCGATAAGACACTGGTTAAGTGGAGTTGGGGTAGCAAAAATAATACAACTCCTAGCCCCTAACCTGTGATTGTCTTTCATCATTTTCCAGGGAGCGACTATGTCACCATTTCTTCGAATTGGTTTGTCCAACTTTGACTGTGGAGCCTGCCAATCTTGTCAGAGTGAGGCCATTAGCCCTTACTGCGCTGTGTTGGTCAAAGAATATGTTGAATCAGGTAAGTGGAGCACTGGGGAGGGGGAGGAGGAGAAAGATCCTCCTGCAATCTGTGCATGAAGCAAGCACTTTGAGAATCTTGAGAGTCACTTAGATTAAGGTTGCATTGTCTTGGAATCATCTGTAAAGATTTCATGCTGTGCCTTTTACTAAGCATATATAAAAATTAATACAGAGTCTATAATTAGACATTAAAATGAAAAGTTCAGAAAACTCTCTTTATCCATTTATATGCTCCAGTTTGAGCGATGGAAAAATCATGCTTTGTCAATTTTGAGTATTCATAGGTAGTCATGGTGAGAGTGCAAAGTGAGTCAGTCAACAAGGATTCCATCTGTGGGTTTACAGGTTTCTATTAGAACAGCCCTATTATGCAGGGTATCTCCCCACTGCTTCCACTCACCTTGTTCGTTGCCTCTGCATGTGAATATTCTCATGGGGCAGGTATGAGGCCCAGTGATTCAAGTCCCACTTAATAGAACTGCATTCCATATCAGAGTGCTGCATTAATTCAGGTCCCAGTTCCAGTTCTCATCGCTCTCTCCAGCTAATGTGCTCTGGGAGATGCAACAGGTGATGGCTCCAGTGGCTGGGTTCCTGCCACCAGTGTGAAAGGCCTTGAGTTCCTGGCTCCTGGTTTCTGCCTGGCCCAGCTGAGGTTTTTCTGGACCTTTAGAAAATGTTTGGGATATCTCTATTTGTAAGCCTGTCTCTCTTGTGTGTTTCTCTCTCTCTCTCTCTCTCTCTCTCTCTCTCTCTCTCTCTCTCTCTCTCTCTCACACACACACACACACACACACACACACACACACACTACCTGTTTCCCTATGTAGCTTTCTTAGCTTAGCAGACTCCTCAAGACTTATGATTCCCACTGATGCAGGTTTCGGGTAAGTGCAAGGATCATCACAGCTCAGAAGGGCAAGAGATATTGATGGGGAGCCTGCTGGGAGGGTCCTGGGGTTGGAGCCCAGAAAAAAGAAAGCAAATAATATGGGGTAGTAGAGGTTGCGAGGCAAGTTCTCTTTGAACTGCTCCTCTCAAGGAGATGAAAGGCAATAACTGAAATATTCTAAGTAGAAATGATAAGTGCAGTGAAAAATATCCAGATAAGGTAAAGGGTAGACAGAAAGACTGGGGATGGAGATATGTGTGTTATTTCATACACAGCAGGCCATAAAAGGCCTCTAGGAGATTTGCATGTGCAGATGCAAGGGAAACGCAAGTCAGATGCTGAAAACCTCCAGTTGGATGTTTACTCCCCAGAATGCTGGGGTTCCAAATCACAGCATTCTAGCTTCCACCGTCCAGCAAAGACGCGTTCCTTCATGACTGATCCCCTCCTTGCAGACATGCTGAGTACATCAAAGCCTGAAAGTCTATCCAAATCTTCTTGATTCCCCTTCTTCCCAGAGTTCTCTCCTCTTTAGTTAAAAGTGAGGATGTCACTTCCTCCCAACCTAAAACCTTTCAAATGTCACAGACATCTTTGAAGTACAAAATGTCGGAGTGTTTCAAAGCCGCTTCTGACTTAATGGGTCTCCTGGATCCAGTCCTCTTTATAACCTCAGGACTCCCTGACATTTGCCTCCTGAGAGCCCGCTTTTTATTGCTCCTTTTTTCCTTGCCTTTGAACTCGGTCTCATGGGCCATGTGGATCAAGAGACCTTGTCAGAAAGGGAAGAAACTAAAAGAATAGGTATGGAGTCAGGGGATGGTTTGAATGGTTTGAATGGTTTTGTTTTGGTTTTGGTTTGGTTCAGGAGAGAAATCGCTGGCAACACTGTCATTCAAGTGTGACTCCCATAGGATTTAAACCTGTTTCAGTCCTCTGGCTGCGAGGCTACATTCTCCTTGGCGATTCTGCAGAACAAGGACAAACAGGCAACCAGCAGTCTGAGAGCCTTTATCAGATGGGATCCTGAGTTCTGATTCTCTTTTTGGGTGACATTGAACCTGGCTAAAGAAAATGTAAAAAGCTCCTTGTTTGCAGGAATTGCTCACCCTTTACCTAGATGTAGAGAATAAGATGAGAGGAAGGGAATTATTTTAGAGAAAGCTTCACATCTGTGGAAGGAAATTGTGGATGTGACCATGAATACCATCACTGGGTTCTGCAAAGCCCAATCTCTAGTTAATTTTCTTACTCAAGCCATCAAAATCTTCCCCTTCCTATTACACTCTTGATAGTATCATAGTTAGTGCTTCTGTTAACCTAGGTTACCTACAGGCTAAGCTTCAGCTTAGTGAACTTTATATGTAGCCCTAAAATAAATATTAATCAAACAAATGCTAAAGTCTTGTTCTATTACGGCCTTGTTCATAGAAGAAAAAGGGTCGACAGTAGTTACAGCAGCTTTGTATGCTCCTATTTAAGTGAATCTTGCCCTTCGGCTAAAGTTGCCATTTAAAGTGCTTATTATCACAAGAAAGAAGCAGTCAAATACAGATGAAGTTTGGCCTAATACCAGTTCAGTTGATCACATGACCCTACTCTTTTTAATTTTTAACTTTTTTTTTGAAAGTCAGAGTTACCGAGGGAATGAGAGACAGAGTGGGAGCTCTTCCATATGCTGGTTGAGTGCTCAAATGGCAGCAATACCTAGAATTGAGCCGATCTGAAGCCAGGAGCCAGGATCTTCCTCTGGGTCTCCCACGTGGATGCAGGGGCCCAAGGACTTGAGGCATCCTTCGTTGCTTTTCCAGGCCATAAACAGGGAGCTGGATAGAAAGTGGAGCAGCCAGGACACAAGCTGGTTCCCATATGAAATGCCAGTACCACAGATGGTGTCTTAGCCTGCTGTACCATAGCACTGGCCCCATGTCCAATTCTTTACAGATTCAAAAAGGAGAATCTTGAAAGCATAGAAATTTTTTTCAAAAAGTTTATTTGTTCAAGTGTTCATGTCCAAAATGAAGCAACCAATCATTGGAGAATAAAAGAAAAATCCAGTGCAAGTCAGATAATTGTTGCCTAAATTACATACTTTGAACATTTAATAGTCAGTACATTACTTTGCTTGGATATCTTGAAGCTGTCTCAACCTGTGGATATCATTTCTGTGTAGGTTATTTTTTCTCCCCTACAGAATTATTCATCCTACAAGGCAGACAGAAAAGATGCCATTACTGGATTAAATTATATTGCTTTTCCAGAGCTGACAGAAGCAGTAATGAGAATATGTCTTTTTGTTCTTAGAAAATGGACAAATGTATATCCAGAAGAAGCCAACTATGTACCCACCCTGGGATAGCACTTTTGACGCCCACATCAATAAAGGAAGAGTGATGCAGATCATTGTGAAGGGCAAAAATGTGGACCTCATATCCGAGACCACCGTAGAACTCTACTCACTGGCCGAGAGGTGCAGGAAGAACAACGGGAGAACAGAAATCTGGGTAAACGTCTGAGCTGCGAGCCTCATTTCAACACCTTAATTGATAGGCAGGATGATAGCTGGTAACTAACTCCAAATTTTCACCCACAAGGACTGGCCTGAGTAAACATCCTAACTGGTGGCAGTGATTGTTCATTAGGGATTTAGAACTGATTGACATTTTCAAATCTCTTTCACCCCTGTGAAAGGGGAAGAAGCTATACATTTGATCTGTTAAAGTAAGCTTGGAAATATTGCAAATCCCCCTTAATTTAGGAACCGAGCTGTCTATTTATCAAAGCATTGAAATATGAGAGGATAAAGCAAAGATTACTTAAAGTTTCATATCTTGTTTCCTTTCTGTTAACCTACACGTATTTTTGCAGTCATAATGATTTTACTTAGCTTAGATTGTACTAAGAAGTACATCATACATAACTCAGGTCAATAAAACAGATTTTTGAAAACCTAGGTTAAGTACCAAATGTGTAGAAATGCAAAGGGAAGACTAAACTATGAAAGCAGGTCTTTTTGGTTTTGGTTTTTGCTTTTTTAGATCTCTGGAACTTGAATTTTTTCCTCCTTTGAAATTTATTTTTAAACTGATTAACTTATTTGATGATACAGTTCCAAAGGCTTTGTGATATCCCCTCCCCAATTCCTTTCCTCCAACGAGTTCTGTATCTAGAGCAGCACAATCTACAATAGCAAAGGCATGGAAGAAAAAAAAAAAAAACATTTCAAGAGTGGATAAAGAAAGTGTGGCAAATCTACTCTATAGAATACTAATCAGCCATTAAAAAGAATGAAATTCTACCATTTGCAACAAAGTGGTCCCAACCAGAAGGCCATTATACTCAGTGAAATAAGCCCATCATAAAAGGACAAATATCATATGTTCTCTCTGATATAAGATTATCCATGTACAAAGTATAAAATGAATAGATATATAGGTAAACATGCATGTACATACAGTCATCTGGAGAGACTATTGCATTGAGATGTGAAGATACGATGCAGTATGCATCTCTGCTTCCAAATCAAAAATGAACTCCAAAGAAACTGCAAACTATATCCTGACAATATGATGCCAGACTCTGTCATTCTCCATGCCTACAATGTAATGATACACTTAAATAGCAGAATGATAGACTTAGGACTGTTTTTGAAAGATTAAACTGTTATAATAAATTAAGGGAAATTAATGAATATGATTTCTAACCTAGGCTTTGGTTAACTTGATTTTTGTCAGATTGTTCGCTTTCTTTGTACTCTTAGATCACTTCAACAGAAGCACATGTCAGCATTCAGATCCTCATTTAGACAACTACCCAATTTTTTACATTTTGAAGCTTTGGCGATTTTTTCAAGGTTATTTCCTAGTTTATTTTAATTTAACAGACATCTTAGGATTATTTTAATGTGTTTTTAAAATTTGTAATGGACTGTTTTTAATTGAAATATGAAATCAACAGGTTGTTTCGCCCCCGCTTGCATTAGAATCTGCTTTCTTAAAATTTGCTTTCCTATCCAAATTTTTTTTTCTCAGACTTACCTTTCGTCTCTATAGACACCATCCTGCTTCTAACCAGCAGTTTGAGATTTGCCTTTTGCTTTCCCTTTGCAACTGTGTGCATGATTGTGGCACACTCTTTTCTTGTAAGTAGGCTAGGATATTACTTTCTCAATGTAGTCTTTCTATTCACTGACTGGTTTGATTTCTGCCATCACCTCTGTTTCCTGAATTGTGATGATATTGTCACCTGATACTAATTTGGGCACTTCATTTGGGACAGACACCTTGGGAACAGGTGTCCTCTTCTTCCGGTTTTCCTTCACCTCTACAAATTATTCCATAAGCCAGAAAACAATGATGTGTATACTTGGCATTGAATGGCATTCCCCTCTGCAGGAATCTATATAAACTCATAGGAGAATGGATAGTTGGCCAAACAGTACAAGCTTACTGTGCAACAAAATTCTAGTAGTAGTGATGCTGTGACAAAGTTTGTTGCTATTTTGTCAGATTTGCAGATGTCTCCTAAGTTTCAGTGACTGGTACACAACCACACAACTGGGAAATAATTTTTGTTCAGTCCTGGGTTTATCAAGACATCTGTTGCTGCAAATGGCTTAAGTCATTTTTCTCCTCCTCCTCCTTCTTCTAACAGTCTAGTGTGGTCATTGAATGTATGAATAATCATCCTCAAATGTTCTTAGATGTGTTCTTTGTTCCCCTTCTGCATCATCTCTTAAATGCTGCTTTGTCCTGGTCCCTTCTGCTTAATCATGTTGAAATACATTTATTATCCCATCACAGACCAAACCACTGAACATTTCCTGAAGTAGTTCGCCAGTTTTCCAAGAAGGCAGTCTCTCTTTACAAAAGGAAAAGTCCACTCCCACTGAATACCCTGATTAGCTTAGAATGTGAGCATCCTACCTGGAAGGGAAGAGAGAGGTTCGTGAGCCCCTGGAAGCAGGATTCATCTTTCCTCCTGACGGAATACTTTCCCCATGGGAACTGATTCTAGTGTCAAATCTCTTATCCTGACTAAAATCAATGTCTGCTCTCATCACTAGTTTTCTTCACAGGCAAGAAAATCAAATAATATAATCTAAAACATTCTTTCCTACGTAAATTTTGATCTTTAAGTAACAATGAGGAACAGCTGAAGTGTTTTAACAGAAGAAAGGCTGTCTTCAAGAATTCTGAAGTAATCTGATGAGGAGTAAAGTATAGAGGCACAATAATTTTTCTCAATATTGGAAATCATCTTTTTTTCACTTGAAATCTTTTGCCATCACCAGAGAAATCAGTTAACATGTCATTGAACTCTGTTGGTTTCTCATCCTAACTGATACTGTTTTTCCTTCTCCCAATCAGCTGGAGCTGAAACCTCAAGGACGAATGCTAATGAATGCAAGATACTTCCTGGAAATGAGTGGCAAGTGACATTTCTTCTTTCTGATTGGGGTTGAGGAGGGTATGACCTTCTCTTCAGGTACAACTTCTTTTTATTTTAATTTTTATTTTTTGATGATGATTACATCATTAATCAGAGTGGGAAGGACCAAGGGTTAAGTAAAAGTGGGTGAAATCATTGTTTCCGAATATTCTGTTTCTCTTGTCTCTGGGCAAATTGGAGAGATAAGGAGGGAAGCCACGCCCAGACTCCCAAATGTCCCAGTACCCAGAGATGGGGAACCACCACCTGATATCAACCCAGGGTCTCGTTGTGGTGCATGTTCCAAAGGTTCTGGCCAAGTGGTTTGGATAATTCTGAAATGCTGTCAATTTCACCAACCCAAGGTTGTGGCAGTCCTCTCAATGTCCATTGGGAGACATAGTCAACCTCAAGTCAGCCTCTACCCAGATTTTTGCTGTCATCGTTTGGCTGGGGTAAATGTCCATTTTGTTGAGTTCTTCTCCTCTATGATGGTACCTAATGAGCGCCCATATTCTCCATTTGCATCAGGGTCTGAATCCACTGCTTCACCTTTTCCACTCATAGGCAGGCCCAAGGATGCACACTAGACAAACTGAGTCCCACCAGATCCCCTGCACCTTGGACTTACAAACCTAGCACCTACCTTGTGGGTGGGCCCTAGGACCTGGGCCAATGACCTGAGCCCCACCAGATCCCCCACCCCCAGGGCTCATAAACCCAGCACCCACTTACCCCAGGCTGACATGGCTTGCCTCACCTCAACATCAACTATTGTGTTGTGCAACCTGGCTCAGTCCAGCCTGCCCCCAGCTTCAGCTCTTGCTTGTGGATGCTGTAGTGTATCCCAGTCCAGCCAGATCCCTGTCCTGGCCCTAATGTGAAGTGGCTGATGTTGCAGCCCAGCCTGGCCACTCTGCACCCCATCTGAGTTCTCAGATCTGCCAGTGAATGTTTTGATCTGGCCCAGCCTGGTCTGTCCCCAGACCTGACCGACATCTATGCCAGTGGATACTGCAACCTGGTCTGATTTGGCCTATTCCTTGCCTTGGTTCTTGCACTCACCTGCAGGGACTGCATTCTGACAAAGGAGTTCCCCATGTTCATCTGTCAGGTCTCCTCCCAGTGTCAGATCTCTTGCACAACTGTGGGTCCTTGGCCCAGGCTGACTTTGTCTATCTCTTGTCCTAGCAGGAACAATGGCCTTGCTCAACCAGTCCACACCCATTTTGGTTCTTTACTGTTATATGTTGCAGCCCAGCCACACCTGGTCCAAGCCCAGACCAAGCCTTCATATGGTTCACCGGGAGTCAAGACTTAGCCCAGCCCTTTCTACACCCACTCTGGCTCTCATGAGTATCAGTGGAGTGTTGCCCAGTCTGCCACTCTACAGACCCACTCCTCATCCACACCAGGGGAAACTATAGCCATGTCCAGCCCAGACTCAGCAGGGGCTTCCCATGCGCTCCCCAGCCAGACGTGTTCCCATCCATAGCTCTTGAGCTTGCCAATGGAGATTGCAGTTCCACAGTGGTGAGCCCAAAAATACACCCCTATATTCTGTTACCAGACTAGTTTCTCTCACATGCTAGTTTTTGTCATGGCCCATGCTAACATTACCCATCCCCTGTTTCATCTTTCACTAATGGATACTATGATCTTTAGTGTGTGCCAGTGAGGGGTGCTCGGTAATGGCCGTTTCTTAACTACCCCAGCTCAGGTCTCCCACATGTGCTGGTACTTTGTCCTGACTCTTAAAGGGCCTCCTATTACCCCCTAAACTGGTCTCAGCTCCTCTTTTACCTATACATGCAATGGCTTTATCCATGGAAGTCCTTCAACAGTAATTCCTAGGCATAAGCCCTCAGGTCATCACTCATCCCCCCCCCCCCGCCAGTGCGATCCCCCAATTCCCCTGCTGATCCACATCCCCAAACACCCAGAACTCGCCCACGGGCTTCACCCAGCACCAGTAGCACCTGGGTTGCCGGCTAGGGGCAGGAAAGCTCTCTCCACCTGCCCAAATAGCTGCCCACCTCCGGGCGGGAGAGGCCTCCTTCAGGTGCAACTTCTTTTCTACTGCAATTGTGATAGAAAAGAATTAGGAGAAAAGGAAGAGGTAAGAATTTTCTTAACATCCCTAGAAGTACTCAGGCATGAATTGAAAATAAGTATCTGGGCCCAATGAGCATAAAACATTTAGAGCATTCACTTTTAACTTGCATGAATTCCTATGCTCAGTGCTTTTACAGTGTGTCTTTATTTTAATTATGAAATAGAATGTAAATGCAAAAGATTCTGTTGTAGGCACATATTTTCATGTATAAGTGATATGCTATAAGGTGCTCATACTATCAATATAATACAAAATGAATTTTAAAGCTGATATGTTCCCATGAAACAAGTGGCAAAATGTTATTGCTTACAGTTACATAGTTCAAAGCACTGTAAAAACTGCATTGCTGCAGAGTTTTAGTTTCACATCACACACAGATTTTGATCTCAGAACTAGAATTTACAGTATTTAGTGTCTGAATAGCCTATCAGTACAGTTCAAATGAATCAAGTACCACTACATATAGAATCTTAATTCTCAGAATGAATATGTGAAGTTAACTAGTGGTAAACTGATTTTATTTTTTTCTAAATTAGCATTATTATGTCCCTCATTCCAAATGCTTGGGAGCATAAAACTCCCCCCAAATTATTAGATTTTAGAATATCTGCATACACATAGTAAGATAATCCTTGGGCATGACAAACCCAAAATTCATTTATGTTTCATATGCACTGTAACATATAGCCCGAAGATACTTTTAAAAAATATTTTAAACATTTTGCACATGAATAAAAGTTTTATAGGATACAAATATCTACTTGTAGCGGTGTCTTATCACTTAGAAAAAGTTTGCGATTTCGGAACATTTCCTATTGAATAAAAGAGTAGCAAATGTGAGAATAGCCAGAGTGAATCCGTGGGCTCTGCGAAAAGCAGGCATATCAAGGATGAATGCTGGATGGTGCAAAGGCCAAGCAAGGGGTGTGTGTAGACTTGGACCATGGCATGAACCAATGAGAAGAGCACATTTTTCTCTTATTCAACTAATTTCATATTATTGGCTTTTATTATAAAGTACTTCTTGCCGTGGAGAAGAGATGAGAATTTGATACAGATGTGCTTTTATAGGAAATAATTAAAAGGAAGTATAAAAGATGATAAAGCAGCAATGAGATTTCACAGGAGAATTAATGGAACTTGTATACTTGTTACAAGTTCACTTTTGAAGTACTTTATAATTTTTAAAAGTGAAAGTTGAATGACTAGAAAACACGTTGAGAGATTCTTCTTCAGATAGCCAAATTTGAAAATGATGATAGGAGGGACAGAGGTGGGAGATATGGAAAGGAATTCATACCCAGGTAACTTTCAATATAGCACCGTGTCTCCCAAATCTCTTTTCAGAGAACACCATCCCAGAAGCAGATGGTTCAGCAATACCATCCATAGTTCACTCCATTTTTTTTTCTGACCATGCCCTGTGTTAACTTATGTGCAAGAATCATTTTTCCCTTTTTTCCCTCTGTTCTTCTCCCATCCCTTTCATCTTTAGAATTTGCCATCATCTTCTGATACCCCCGACACCTGTTTCACAACTTCTTGTGCTTTATCTCTCTCTAATAATTCAGTACTCATTGCTTACCCTCAACTCATCACTTACAAGATTCTCCACCTCAAGGGACCCAGCCTCATACCTTGCTATCTCCTATCTATTAATTCTGTCTTTCCTCTCACTGAAGAAGTACTAGTCTTCACCCTAATCCAATTTCACTTTCACTTCATGTGTTAGCTCATTCGTGTGATTAACTCCTTACCTACTTTGATCAAAATGCTAAGCCTTTGACATGTCCAGTTATCATGAATTGGTTCTTCAACCACAATACTGCAATCCCCTAGTGTTGCATTTTCTCTTCTCACTCCTCATAGCTTTCCTAGAAAAACAGCATTCAGCTGAGTCCCTTTTAATGGGTGCTGCCACATGATGTTTCTCTTTCAGACTCATGGATTTGGTCTCTTGGTAGGACTGTCCAACTACATTTTGTGTCAGTACTTCAAATTCTGTCAAATATAAATGACAAAATTTAAAGCATCCATATTACCCAATATTACTATTTTCACCAATAACCTGTTCCTTGTGTACTCACTATCTTGGTTATTTATAACTTCCTCCACAAAATCTGGAGGCAATTTTTAAGGCTCCCCTTTACCTCTCACATCAATCAAGACTTTGTGTCCACGGATCTAGTCAATGTTTCTCACTTTGTCTGCATACATCATGACTCTTATTCCATATCCCATTCATTCTACTAACTTGCCAGGGTGGACTATATTAAGCTGCTACTTGAACAGGAAAGCTGCCACTTTCCTCTACCTCTAATACAACCTTTCAGTGTTTGCAGTTTACCTACAGAAATCAAGCTTGTCTGGTGCTTGCCCATCTCTATAAAGCCCCTGGTCTGCCTCTCACTATTCTCACAAGAGTCAACCACATTTGATTCTCCCACTTTCTTTCTGAGGAGTCTCATCTCTGTATCCCTCTCGTCTCCTCTTCTCTTCCACTTCAAGAGAAAACCTTTGGTTTTATCCACTGAAATTTCCCCCGCATATTAATAAGAGTCATTTATTCTTCAAAACGACTCATCATCATCTCTACCTGTATCCACTTGTCAAGTTTTGCTTGCTTTCTCACCTCGCATCTGCTTCCACCTGCCTTAGCTTGTGTGGTTTGTCACCTCATAGTTCCAGGGCATCCTGTAAATACTTGTGTTGTTACAGTTGCCATTTTGATTGACTTTCCTTATGGATTCTCAGCTCCCTGCAGGACAGCAGTGTTTGAACCATGTCTTTTCCTATGTGTCCAAGTTGCAGGCTGAGCACATAGGAAATACTTGATGAATGTAGAATGGTCAAGTGGGATTCGGAGCTTTGATTTCCTGTAGATTTTCACACAGTGCTGATTGCAAAAATCCTCCTTCACTTTGGTTTCTGAAGTTATCCTGGTCTCACTGTTGGAGACTGATATTGGCCCAGTGTGATTGAGGGAGACTCCATCTTCTGCCTCTGCGCTGCCTCACACACTTCCTGTTTCATTTCTCCCCTTGTTGATCTCAAGCCTGCCATCTTCAGCAGCCTTTCTCCATCAGTACACTTCATTAACATTTTCCAGCTCCTCCTTCTCTCTTGGCCAAAAAAAAAAAAAAAAAAAAAAACCAAAAACTGAATGAAGCCATATTCCCCAGCATTGAAATATATCTCTCCTTTTGACCATTTTACCTCTATGAATTCTTTCCTTTTTTCTCCAAAACAACTGTTGAAAAAACAGTTTTTATAAACTGTTTCTTCACTCCTACAATTCTTATACGCTACAAATCTAAATTGTTTTGATAAAAATTTTGGAATATGTTTTCCAAGATTATGGACCCTCAAGGCAAGTTGCCAGTCTCTGAGCCTTCAGTTTCCTGGATACTGCCATATCATTTCATGCTGAAAAAGTCCCCATTCTTTCTGGCTTGTCTTATGTGACAGTATCCGAGTCTTCCTCTTCCTTTGTCAGCTGCTTTCCTTTGGTTTCTTCCATAAATTCTCTTCCCGCCTCTTAAAAAAATACAAGTAATCATATCTGAGTCTACTTTGAGTCTATATTTGACTCTATTTTGCACCACCTTTCAATGCCTGTCATAGTTAACGGTTCTTTGTATGTGTGTCACGTCTCCCTGACTTGCCTGTTAGCTGCTAAAGGGTTAGGAATGGCAGCTCCTATTTCCTCATAACACTCAGCATAGCAATTTACTCAGAGTTGCTGAGAAAACATTTGTGATCTGATTGACTGCAAACAAGTGATAAATTAGGCTGAATAAAAAAATTAGGAGCAAAGCAAACATAAAAACCAATAAGCTCATTCAAAGCAATAATATGAGAATAAGTTACTTTAGAAATAAACATTATTAATACCAAAATAATTTTTTAAATTCTATATCCATATATATTTACCGACTTCTAATAATGACTGGAATGTTTAGAGGATAAAGAAAATCACAGAAAGGAGCATTTCCTGATAAATTTTAATTTTCAGTAGGCTAGTATATACACTAGTATTTATCACCTGTCATTTATCTATTGCTTAGTTAAATCTTTTGAATATAAAGGTATAAATATTTCTTTCTTTTTATTATATCTAGACCAAAATAGAAATGAATCAAATGACCTAGTCTAACAATCATATGTAGTAAATAGATCTCTAATCATATAACAGCAGTACTAGCAGAGAATGACTAACTCAATAACCCTAAGGAAGGGGCAGTGTGCCTATCTAAGGGGTTTCCGAAGGAACTGCCCTAGAGATTACTGTAGGGGAGATTTCATTCCTAAAGCAGTTGGTGGGAACTAGAGATGTCTTCCTACAACATGTTTCCCTGTCTACCTAGTGTGGTTCCAGCCTCCCTACTAATAGGGATGGGAAACTAACATCCCCAGGCAGGGGCATTTGCCTCAGTGTATCTCGGGCCTTTGTTGCTGCTTAGCCAGAATGGAAGTAATTTAGGTTCAATAGTGTTCATTCTTTATGTTTGTGAAATATGATGGGTCTTTTATTCTTAACTAAACTACATTTTTTGTATTTGTGAAAATAAAGTTAATATAAAATGTAATCTAAAATTGTTAAATTGTGCAAGTATGATTCTACCAGTTGTAATAGTTCATTATTTTTATCTTAGTGTTTGTTATTTTGGTTGTCTTTGTTTTATTGTTTATAGTATTATTCTCTGTCATACACTGCCTAAACATGACTACCTTATCAGTTTGTGGTTTGGAGGATTCTGGGCTTCTGTCAGGGTATTCTCAGAATTTTGCTAAGTTAGAATCCTTCAAGTTTTTGCATAGGAATCTATGCAGAATAATTATGAATAGTTACTACCCAAAACACCTTCATCACTATCTGTGAACTCAGGGGACATAGAACAAGTGTGAATTTGGTGATTTGGGTTAGATGACTGGGTAATGCACAAGGATATATGGACATTAAACAAAACCTGCAGTATTTTATAGAAGTCAGTTTTCTGCCCGGTTCCACATTGATCACTATGATCTGTAGCTGGTACATCTGATCACTGTGACATCAAGAACCAGATTAAATCGAGCTTCTCAAAGATGTGTCTGCCCTCACAATTCTCCCAAGTTCAGTCTTCCGTGGCCAATGTAAAGTATCTGTACACTCAGAAATGCGGCTCCCACGTGGCTGTCCACTTTATTCTCTAGAATTACTCACAGAGAGGCAGTTGCCACTTCCTGCCTTTCCTGGCTTACTTACCATGAAAAAGGAGAGCTTAATAAATAATTTTTAAATTGTGATGTCTGATTCTTAAGAACTGAAAGAGGATAGCTCAGTCTATGAAAGAAGAGTGAGGGATTGACCTCATAATCCACATTCACATATATCCTGCGATATCTCTAATTAAGGAAAGAAGTGTTATTATAAAAGTCCTTTCCTAGCCATGGTTCCATTTTCTGTGATTTCAGTTCTACTCAGTTGCAGCAAAAAATATTAAAGTGAAACACTGTAGAAACTATTCATAAATTTTAAGTTATGCGTTGTGTTGAGTAGCAGAATGAATGATCATGCCATCTCTCTCTGTCCTACCCACATCATGTATTGGCCCTTTGTCCAGCACATCTGCTCCATAAATCCTACCCACCCATTAGCTCTTTTTAACTGCCTTGATTATCAGATCTACCATTGAAGTAATGCAGGATTCGTGTTCAAGTAATCTGTTTTTGACTTAATGACTCTAAAATACAGAGTAATAATGCAAAGGAAATGCTAAGGCATAAAATAGAAAAGGATAGATAACTCTGGTACTGTATGGGTACTTTGTTGAGATTTATGGAAAACAGAATTTTAAAACAGGAATTTTTTTAGCTTCAAATGTAGTTATGCTGTCGGGACCATTTGATAAAAGCAAACCAAATATGGATTTGATCTTATCTGTGATTTCCCACATCCACTGAGGATCCTGGGTTGTATTCCTCACAGATAAGAGTGGAATATTGTATTACACTTACCTTAATAAGTAGCTAGAATCAGATTAACATAGGTGCTCAGTGCCCACCCCCTTCTGTTCCTTACCTGACTACCACCTGACTCTCCCAGCTGTGACTGACATATTGCAAAACTTCGTCTTGTTCCCAATTCTCTTCCTACAGACACAAAGGACATGAGTGAATTTGAGACAGAAGGCTTCTTTGCTTTGCATCACCGCCGAGGAGCCATCAAACAGGCCAAAGTCCATCATGTCAAGTGCCACGAGTTCACTGCCACCTTCTTCCCTCAACCCACATTTTGCTCTGTCTGCCATGAGTTTGTGTGGTAATTTGGCATTTCATTCCAAATTTGGGGGTTTTTCTAATCCATTTGCTTAAACCACCAAGCCTAGTGTGCTCCAGAAGGGGGCAGGAGTGTTGCCTGAGTAAGTACTATGAGAGCTGACTGGACTGAGGAGATGTAAAATGATCTTAATCCAAGATTCATATAGTGTGGGTCCTGTAGAGCAAGGTCCTTTGGGGCAAAAGGCATAAAGGACCTTAGTTTCTAACCACACAAAAGGGTACTGGTGATGAAGAGGAGCTTCATCATGTAGGCATAGTTGATTTTTGTGGCCAAGGCTTCTGTCACCTCAGTAGCCCAGCTGTGCTGGTGCTCCTGTTTCCAACAGGCAGTAGCTTCCATTGAAACTAGTGGTTTAAAATGCCGATGAGGCTCTTGGGTGTCTTTACAACCTCAGACACTTAGTTGAAGACTCAGTAACCACATAGCAACAGACATGCTAGAGTGAAGACTTGAAATGACTCCTGTTTCTGATGTTCAGCTTCCTGGACTATCAAGGGATGTTCTTTCCTTTGGGTATTGCAGGATCTGTGACTGCACCACTCTGACTTCACCAAGATAAACAAAAGTCAAACAAACTTTTGATGTATATTCATCATCCAATTTTTATCTGATTAATTGAACCTACTTCCTTTTCAATAACAAGTATTACTCAAAAATTGTTCTTAAACTTGAGACTTTGTTGGTTGAAAAGATTCAGAGGCACTTGGAGAAAGGAAATGAAATGTGTTATAGATGTCTTTGTTCACCAGGTATGAGATTGTTCATCTAAGCGAGACAATGATGTAGTTTTTTTCTTTAATTAAAAGTCAGATTTACACAGAGAAAGACAGAGAGAGAAAGATGCTCTGTCCACTGGTTCATGCCCCAAGTGGTCGCAACAGTCAGAGCTGAGCTAATCTGAAGCCAGGAGTAGATGCTTCTTTCTAGTCTCCCACATGGGAGCAGGGTCCCAAGGTTATGGGCCATCCTCGACTGCATTCCCAAGCCACAGGCAGGGAACTGGAAGGAAAGTGGAGCAGCCGTGATACAAATTGGCACCCATATGGGATCCCAGAGCATGCAATACAAAGAGGACTTTAGCCACTAGGCTACCATGCTGGGTCCAACAATTATGTTTTAAGTGGAACACAAGGACATTTCATGCTAGGAATTTGGGGTGATTATCTTGTCTCGAATTTTAAACTCTATATGTTGCTAGGAAAATACAAAAGCAATAAAGAAACCAATTTATCCAATTTATTCTTAAAGATACCTAGTTTGTTTATCAGACTTTTATCAAAGCAGCTTGAAATAAAAGACACACTATCAATTTAATACTCACTGCAAGTGATCCATCAGAACTGATGGTACTCTGTGAGCTCAGGACTCTGTGAGATCTCATTCTTCTTGAAATGGTTTTTATGTGGATGTTGATGTGAATATCTAAATAAATCAGTCATGTGCTTTATTGCAGGGGTCTGAACAAGCAGGGCTACCAGTGTCGACGTAAGTAAAAAGGATTTCCATTTTGTTGTCATCATCTTTTTAATCTAATTGCTCTTAGTTGCTGAAAGTTTGAAGTTACAACTATGTCTTTCCAGAATGTAATGCAGCAATTCACAAGAAGTGTATTGATAAAGTTATAGCCAAATGCACAGGATCAGCTATCAATAGCCGAGAAACTATGGTATGTATTTGATTTTTTTCTCTGTCTCACAAAGGTTTTATCCTGACATTACATTTGATAGTCTAATCCTTTTTTAAAAATGTCTGAGCTGCATGTAACTTAAGTAGAAAGCCCATTCTCTGTGGTGTTGTAGAAGAATATAGGGGGTTAAATGAAGATGAAACCAGAGGGCCAACACTGGTACACAGCAGATTAAACCACCACCTGTGATGCCACCATTGATTATGAGTACCCATTGAGTACCAGCATCTGCAATTTTGGTGGAGCTCCCTGCTGATACATCTAGGAAAGTGGCAACTAATAGCCCAAGTGCTTGGGCTCTTCCACCCATGTGGGAGACCCAGATATAATTCTAGGCTTTGGGCTTCGGTCTGGCCCAGCCATTGCTATTATGATCATTTGGAGAATGAACCAGCAAATGAAGAGTGCTCTCGGTTTCCCCTCTCTCTCTATCCTCCTCCTCTCTCTGTACGATATTGCCTTTCAAAAAAGTGAAGCTTTTTTAGAAAGGAAGAAAGTGAAATCAGAGGACACTGAAGGTGAGAATAGAGGATTAGAAGGGCACTGTTTGCTAGTGTGTGCCAGTGTGGTCACCACAGAAATGGCTCAAATTTATCATATTTTAAGGTGACTGTTAGTTAAAAATGACTAGCTGCTTCAAAGGACTGGGTGTGGATGATTAAATACAGGACTCTAAAGACAGTACTTATAGTCTGGCCTCTTCAAATGTTCTGTCTCAGGATGAGTGATGAGGTAGATAAAAAAAAAAAAAACGTGGCAATATGAATAAGACTAAAAGAAAAACACCTGTGATTCCATTATGAACATGTTTGGTCCGAGATGCTATGGAAACCCAAGTGCAGGTATCAGATAGCAATCATATATATATATACATATATATTTATATTTATATCTATATATACACTTCTACATAAGTTTATCAAACATGTGGACCAATGAAACAATTCTATAGTTTTGAAAGTGGCTGCAATATGTGTGAAATTTAAAGCTGCTAAAGATATTACTTAGAAAATAGAGTGAAGTAAACGCTTGTAACTGACTGTAAAGGATACTGATGTTAAAAGTTTGTAGACAAATAGGGATGGAAATCAAGATTGAGAGCACAGATGCAAAGTGAGTTCCCCAGAATATATGGAAGCTACGGAAACCAGAAGGTGATAGCATCGGTTCTTGTCTATGCAAATGTAATGTTGAGAAAGAGCAGAGTCATGTGGAGATCACTGAAGCTCCATGTCGGAGAAGTGTCGGTGACATTGTGAAGGTCTGACACTTATGGCCTGAACTAAGGGAGACTGACAGGTGAGGATATGAGCACTATCAATGTCTTGCTATTGTTAAAGAGATTAACTAGGAAGTTACTCTACTAGTTACAGCAGCTGGAAGGTGGAGAGTTCTCTCTTTGCCAAGGAGAGATGGATGAAGCTAGGGAGAAACAAATAAGCCTGTTGACAAAGGGAGGGGTCTTGATCTCACATAGAGATAGGCCTCCGATGAGCAGAGGGACACTTCATCAGTTTTAAGAGGAAGGGAATAGAGCGAGAGGGCCACTGCTGAGGGGACATTGTAGATTCATTGGTAGGAAGCTGTCTAAGGGAGTTTGAGTGGTGGGGAAGTAATAAAGGCCCATGAAGTGATTACCTTGAAATGGGAGGGCCAAGAGATTTTTTGAAAAGCAGTAGGAGTGAAGCTCAGGTGTGTGATTTTCTGGACACAGAGATATAAATGGGTTGAATTTTTTTGCAGAGTACAGTTTCTTCCAAAATTTAGAGCCAGAGGGGATAGTCTGGTATTAACCTGTGATTCTCGAAAAGGGCTCTAAGAAGTTCAAGTTGTTTATGCATACTCAAATCACCTGTCAATGATAGAGCTGTGCCTAAAATTTTAACCTCAGTCTCTCAGGCCATGTTTGCATTTGTTTAAATCAAATTGCCAGCTCCAGACCTACCCTCCCATTTCTATTTTGATGCCTTCAGCTTTTTTGAAAACAATCATTATTTGTCAGCATTGCTGATAGCCTCAATAGTTAGCCAAATCTTTACCATAAGGAGAGTATTCATAAGTTGTTAGCTAATGAATGAATATCTGCATGGATAATACCATGTCCTTGGTATATGTCTTGATTTCTTGCTCCTTCAAAAGTATATCATGTTTGGGGACTTTTTGTGCCACAAATCTGATGGCGTTGTAGCCAACAAAATAAGCGAAAGCCAACTGGATCACTTAAGGTTTCAAATAGTCACATTAAATAAAGAAGGCAAAAAAAAAAGTAAGGTTGATTTAATCATGTTTTGTTTGAGTCAATCTATCCAAATATTATTTCAACATGTAATCAATAGGAAAAAAATAAGACATTAGTTTTTAAAGCAAGGTCTTCAAAATGTAGCTTAGATTTTATACCTACAACACAACTCACTACCTTTCAAATGTTTCTAACCCCATTCAATTAATTGGTTTTCCTTTTGGGAAGAGCAGATCTACAGTCTTCATGAACCTGAACCGTGGCTTGAGTCATTTGGAACTGTGTTCAGAATTTGCAATAGTCCCCTTCTTTTGGACTTTGACCTATTAACTGTGTTTCTGTCTTACAAAACAAAAGCTTTTCTTTCAAGCTCCTTTTTACTTGGTTTAAGGAGAAGAAAGCAAAGAGCTCTCATGTGCTGATTCACTCCCCAAATGCCGACAGTGGCAGGGGTTGGAATGAAGCCAAAGCCAAGAGCTAAGGATACACTCCAGGTCTCCTGTATGAGTGGCAGGAGTTCAACTGCTTGAACCATCACCACCACCTCCCAAAGTCTGCGTCAAGAGAAGGCTCTCCAAATTTGGACCTTTAACTCAGGAACTCTGTTATAGCATGTGGCTATAACAGAGTTATAAAACCACTAAGCTTCCTCTCTGTCTCTCTACCTCTATATATCTGACTTTCCAATAAAAATGTATGTGTTTTAAAAATAATCATTTGAGACAAAATAAATCTGAAAGTTATGCAGAATTTTTTTTAAAGATTTATTTATTTATTGAAAAGTCAGATATACAGAGAGGAGGAGAGACAGAGAGGAAGATCTTCCATCCGATGAGTCACTCCCCAAGTGAGCGCAACGGCCAATGCTATCCCAATCCAAAGCCAGGATCCTGGAACTTCGTCCAGGTCTCCCACACGGGTGCAGGGTCCCAAAGCTTTGGGCCATCCTCGACTGCTTTCCCAGACCACAAGCAGGGAGCCGGATGGGAAGAGGGGCCACCAGGATTAGAACCGGTGCCCAGATGGGATCCTGGAGCGTTCAAGGCGAGGACTTTAGCCGCTAGGTCACGCCACCGGGCCCTAGGATTTTTTATAGTAGCTATTCTGAATAAACTCTTAGAAGACACCTCATAAAACTACCGTTAGCATCGTTCTCCCACCTCTTACCTCATATCTTGAGTCATCAGTTTTGTTTTGAGACAAGAAGAGGATGGATGGGCTTCAGTTCTGAGTTCTTAGGTACCCTGACTCAGCTGTGTGATCTGGGCAACTTTCTTGCCCTTTCTGTACCTATTCTTCTCATCTGTCAAAGGAGACTAGATGCCAAGGTGACTTCAAATGCTGTATTTTGAGAATTAGTTGAAATAATGTATATGTAAAAATGCACATGTGACATATCTGTTCACTATACCTGGCAGCATTGCCCCTGCCTTTTATTACAGCAGTTCTTCTAGTCATGAGTAACAGGCGCAAAAATTGTTCCCACCTTAGCAAACCCATTGCAACGTTTCCTGCAGAAAGGAATTTTGAATGTGTTCCAAAGGTTAAAACATTAGTTCTGAACTGAAAGAAAAAAGGAAATATTTATATGAAAACAGGAAGGGTGGTTTCATTTATTTAAATGATGATAGTTTCACTCTCTTTTGAATAAATAATCCTAGTTCCCTAGTCACCTTCTCCTGAAATGTTAGCCTGCCTGTGCTGTTGCCTGACTTTAGCTGTCCAGGGTGCTATATGTGTGCAGGTGCAAGTCTGTCCCTCTGCTGGATGAGCTTTAGACTCTGTCTCCTTCAGACATGACTAGAAGGCTTCACAATTTTAAAAGATGGTTACAATGCACACAGTACCCATATTTTCCTTAAGGTCAGTGCTGTGCTGAAGTATCTATGCATCTGCGAGGACTTTCAAGGTCAAGACCCCAAGACGTATGAGGGTCACATCTTCTGCCCTTTCTTTCAGTTCCACAAGGAGAGATTCAAAATTGACATGCCACACAGATTTAAAGTCTACAATTACAAGAGCCCAACCTTCTGTGAGCACTGTGGGACCCTGCTGTGGGGACTGGCAAGGCAAGGACTCAAGTGTGATGGTGAGTGGAGCAAGGTGGGCCCCAACCTCTGCAAAGGGCAGGAGGTAGAATATCAATAATAATATTTTTAAAACTAGGGAGAAAAGGATCTAACATGCACCCTGAGTCCACCCATGAACACCTGCAAGAGTCTCATTGTTGTATCAAAAAAAAATTGCTCAGCAGTTTAGATTTAGTCATGATCCAGGCGTTGCCTCAACTAACTTTTGTTGTACCACAGTCATTGACAAAAATAAGGAATTTCTCTTCTGACTAATCAGCTTCTCTCTGTTCTAAACTGCTGCCTTCTCTGTGGGCTCTGGTCTGCCTCTCCCTAATTCTGGCAGGTGAGGTATGTGGTACCCCATTGCCCTTCTGCTTTGCCCCAGCTAACAGTCTTCTGTCATTCCATCAAGATGCCAACCCAATCATGATGCGAGCAAGTGTTTCTCCTTGTCTGAGCTTTCCTCAAAGGCTACTCTTAGAGCAGTACCTGAGCCATTCTTCACTAGTGGACTTCCTCAGACCTACCTTGAGGAAAGGAAACAGGATAAGGTTTTCTTGCTCTGAAATTCTAAGTTTCTGGGGAAGTGATCTTTAGAAAGTGAGAGGTTGTTGTGCCAGAATTAGGGAGCAGTGAGACAAAAGGTTCCAACCATAACCAAGAATATGATCTGTTGTGGTTGGGACATGTTGAGGCTAGGAGCCAATCCCGGGTGATGTAGACTCAAATGGAGGGTTTCTTGCTGCAGCACAGGCCTGTTAAGTATTTAAGCAGGTTTTTTTGTGCCAGTCATGTCTTAATTCATGTCATTGGGTAGTATGAGTTTGTGTCTTCTCTTTTAAGCACATATAGGCTATCAGAAGGTGCCAGACCATCCTCCACAGACACTCCTACCTCATCCGTGTAAGTTTCTTGTGCCTAGTGTAGCCTGGAGTGACATCTTAAGAAGACTTACATTTCCAAATCACTACCTAAGGCAAAAACACAGGTCATTATAATTAATCCTAGGAATCTCTTCATGGTCCCCAAATATCACGTAATTTTCTCTACATGCCTGTTCATGATTATGTGGCTAGGTAGGATATTATAAAGTACATCATTACAGGTTCATAGACAAAAAGACTAATGTCCCAGTATTCTCATTTCATAAATAGAAACATAATTATTCACATTCCCACTGGTTAGTAATCCTGAGATGGCATCAAAGTCAGGTGCCACCACCCTGGAGCCCGAGAGTCCGCCTATTGAGGCCAGGCAGATCCTGATCCATTGACTACAAAGCTCAGAACTTTCCCCAAGATTCCTAGGCATTATTTCATGCTCACATCTCCCGCTTTGTTCTATTCATTTTCTCTAACATTCTTCCCTTCCCATTCCATTCTCTGCCCCTACTGTCTCCTTCCACTTTCACTTCACATCACTCCCCTCCCTCCTTTCTGTTGTTACCTCTCCTTCCCCTTTTCCCTCCCCCTCTCTTTCCCTGTTTCATGGTCCATTCTTGCTTGTTACAGTCCCTAAATTTCCCTGTTTCCTCAATTCTCTTCCCTTCCACCTGTCCACTTCCTACTGATTGTCTTCATTCTCTAATTCTCTTTCCCCCTTTCTTTTCTTTATTCTTTTCTCAGCTTCTCCTTTTAGTTATCTTCTTAAATAGCCCCCCGTTACCCTTTATCCTGTCTTCCCTCTGTCTCCACAGTAATTCCCATGAAAATAGCCACCAAAAGGGACTTTTTGCATTCACAGAGGTCAAGTTGCCATCTGATAGGTCAGTAACAAAAAACTAACGATGTGAAAGGGGATGGTGGCTTTTCTTCATGACCATGAGCATGGGAGACAAGCCTAGGTCTTGCTACAGTTGTAAGGAACAAAATAAATTTGCAATCCCATTGTGCTGTCATGGAGTCCTGTCTTAATTCGCATTGTAGTAATGAGTAAAACAATAGAACTGGGCCACCCAAATTAAAACCTACATAAACATGTCCCCTATAATGCTAACTGCAGAATTCGTAATGGTATCATGGGAAAATGCTCTAGCTATATGAAAGATTTTAGATGCACATAGAAGAGTTTGCTTCAAGTAGATTCTTATGGCTCTATCTATGTATGTGTATATTGGGACTAATAACAGTTGGCAGCCATTTGCCAAGAAAATACTGCTTGATACTGTTTCATGATGAAATAGTTAAAGAAAACTAAACTAGTTTAAAGATGAGGACTTCCCAATTTCACCTAAATGTTTTGATATATATGTCAATGCAACAAATGATAAAGATGAATGTGATGTGATCATTGAGTACCTACTCAGTGCTCATCACTATGCTGAACTTTTGTATGAAGACTGCTAATAAAAAGTTAAAATTAAAACTATATGATTTTGTAACTCCTACTGCCCAATTACGTATGACTTGCCTAATCTTTGGAGAAGCAAGTAACACTTGAAAGTAGGGTTTTATTAGCTGGAACTTGGGAAAAAAAATTTAGATTCTTCTTCAACGAAATTATAACATCCCATATATTAAGTTTGCACTTTCTAAGACTAATGACATAATGCAGTGAATGTGTATGTATGCATGCAGTAGGACTAATCCAAGAATGATCCTTTGCTCACAGAAAATAGTGGTTAGTTAGTTATGGTGTGCTTTTCAGGAGTCATGAATAAAAATACTTGCCAAAAATGGTAATCTTAAAGGTAGAAGCCTACAGAGACCGTAAGGTCTTTGCAAGTGATCCCTTACCTGAGGTTCATGGAGTAAAAGTGACTTGTTCCAGGCCACCACAGCGTGTACTTTTCTCCCATGGATCATGCTCCCGTATCCCCACTCCTCCTCCTTTTTCTCTTAGCAAAACAAAGCTAATGCCAGTGTGTTCATTTTCTGCTGTTCATCAGTCCCATCTCTACCTTTCAGCATGTGGCATGAACGTCCATCATCGATGCCAGACAAAAGTAGCCAACCTCTGTGGTATAAACCAGAAGCTAATGGCTGAAGCTCTAGCAATGATTGAAAGTACTCAACAGGTAGGGAAGCATTGAACCAATGAGTTCTGCCACATTGGCTCATAAGGGACACTCAAATTCTCTTGCTCTTGGTTTATTACAACTCTACGGAGCCATATGGAGTATATTTCTGAATACTTGTCTTGCTGCTTTCACCTTCATGCCCATAGCCTTCCCTTGTATATATGTATTTATTTCATGTCACTTATGATATATGAATTAAATAAGATTTTTAATTCTTTGTGGAATTATCAGGGACAGAAACAAATTCAGTCATCCCAAATCAGCAAGAAACTGGTTCCAGGCAAATTGTATGGATGCTCAGGCACGCTATATGAAATGAGGTAGTATTTGCATACAATATTTCCACATGCCTCATTTACTTTGAATTTTTCTAGATTATTTTAAAACCTAGTGTAATATAAATGCTTTATAAACAGTGGTTACACTATATCATTTAGGAGTCAACAAAAAATTTGTTCAAAACTGACACAATTTTTTCTGAATATTTTCCACAACATTGGTTAAATCTATGGATATGAAACCAAAGGACACAGAAGGATGCCCATATATTCATTATAATAATAATTATTATCATAACAATTATAACTTATCGCCAGTTTCATAGCTGAAAATTGGGGCCATATAATAACCCAGATGAAAACACATGCTAGAGTTATCCCCAAAGTTCTCTCAGAACACAGACTCCAAAACAACTTTGGCTTTGTCATTACTTACTTGGCATTAACTGAATTCTCATACCCAAGAATAAGCTCTGATTAAGACTTGGAATTGCCTATGTAAGCATGTTTTGTATCCATTGACTTTTTGTTCTTATTTGCGATGGATCACATGGATAGTTTGACAGAATTTAGCTAATCCAAAAATACATGGAGTAAGTGTGAGTGTTCTGCTGGTACAGTAAATCCTCCCACAGAATAAGGGACCCTAAAAAAATGTTCAGGGAAAGGGGATCTTTGGTAACCCTTGAACTTAGGAATTGCAAGTGACTTTTGTTTCCAGGGAGAGCCTACCAAACTGTCTCCTGGAAGTGATAGGTGGATGGACTGACTCTCTATCTATAATCTAGGCTCGCTCCTTAAGAGATTCAGAACACATCTTCAGGGAAGGTCCAGTTGAAATTGGTCTTCCGTGCTCCACCAGAAGTGAAACCAGGCCGCCATACCTACCGACACCCGTGAAAAGAGGTAGCCATTGTGGTGCGCAGTCAAAATCTGTATCAGTAATTAACCTTGAGTAAACTTAACTTGCATCCTCCATATGTCAAAGTTACTGGTTTGTAGATTGATAGGTGATGTTTTTCTGTTCAGAGATGACAGACCTAACCACTAAGAGATCTCTACTTCTCAGGGATGAAGACAAAATACTTCTGACAAGGATCATCTGTGAGTGGGGAGGAGGTGGGGAAAGAAAATAAATTAGGCCTAGAAGAAGCAACTGCATATACATCCTTAGAATTCTAGAATGTAGCTTCATGCCAGTATCAAGTGGTTGTATTAAATAAATCTCAATGGTGGAAGCACTAACAAAGATGTTCTTGTGCTGCATTCTTGAGGCTTTGCTACAAAACGATGATAGAAAAAAAGAATTGCCAAGCCCAAAGTCCTTAGCAGTCATGAAGTTATCAAAGTTTATACAGCCTACAGGTTGAAGGTAGTTCATGAGAGCCATAATTACCTGATTCCAGCGCCTGTATCGTTTTAGGATACATGCAATACTTATTTTCATTAGACGTAAGAGAAAATATAAAATATGCACACAAAGGTAAAGTAAAGTCGTAGTATCAAGTTGAGAGGGAGAATTCCAAAAAATGTTTTCCTGCACTTACTCTGGCATCAGGACTAACTCAACTTTAAGATCTGAGCTGGATTTAGGAAGCATCTCCAGGCAGTAAAATAGAACAGGTCTCCACAATGATCAGCAATGAAAATCGTAAGTCAGTGGGACCTTTAACAATCTGATAGATCTTACTTCCTATTTCCTCACATTGTGATTCATTAAGGATGAGTGCCTCTATGTTTAGAACCACATGAACATGAGCAATCACTTTCCCTCAGATTCGGTTAAAAATTTACCTGCTCATGATTTGACATTATTAAAGCTCATCTATTTTTGCAAGTATGGTCTTTTGATGAGTGGAATATGTTCTTAAGCTAATTTATTCCCAAGTCTATTAAGTAATAGGAGACATATATAATGCAGCCCCAAATTTCAGATTCAGAAGCAGGAGATGCCACTGCCCCCACAGATGGATGAGGAGGTTTTAAAACTGCCTGAACGGCAGGAACCTACTGCTTCTCAAATTACTGCGGAAGGAGTACAGAGTGGGAAATAGAGAGGGGATGCTCTGGGTAATGTCATAGACCTTTTGTTATACCGTGCTTGGTTTGAACCTTTGGCTTACCATTTTCAGAGCCTCAGGGAATCTCCTGGGAATCTCCATTGGATGGGACTGATAAAATATGTCATCGTCCAGAACCAGAAGTGAACACAGAACGACCATCTCTACATATGAAACTGAGAATTGAGGATTTTATCTTGCACAAAATGTTGGGAAAAGGAAGTTTTGGCAAGGTAAGCTACTGTACCATAGAACTGTATGGGCCAGCTTCCAGGAAATGAAGAACAATGTAATAAAGATACATAACACATGAAATGGGATTCCCAGTTGCTTGCTATTTTTGTGCACCCAAAGCCACCATTATGCTTAGTACCTGCTCATCAGATTTTAACAGGAAAACTTAGTCAAATTATTGAACAGTAAACAAGCGTAACTGAGCATCCATCACAGCTAAATAACCTTGTGCTTGAATTTGGGGCTTGGATTTAAACACTGAAGTAGTGACTCTGGGCAGAAATCTCTTCTGTCCAGAAACTAGGTGATGTCCAGGAGTCCTTTTGGTTCATTTCCGCATGACTGTGAACCACAGTAGACTCATTTAGATTTAATAGAAATTTAACAACCAGTCCTCATTGTAATTTAGCAGCAATTAATGTGCAATTCTAACCTATTACCAGAAATTGAAATCCCGTTATACAGATAGAAATTGCGTTTTTCAGCTTCTTAGTTAGTAGCTGGTTTTAGAATATTTTACTGCAGGAAGCAATCACCAAAAGAGTACTTTTACTTGTTAATGACATGTTTCTGTCTCTCTCTTCTGTTCCCATGTGGAGTATCACATTTGAACAGGTTAATAAGAAAGACATTAAAGTTAAACCTGCAAGCCTTAGTAAATGTCCCAAGGGGCTTCTGGGCGATCCAGGCATCCCTTGCTCTGTGTCCAAAGCTGGATGCCTCTCTCACTGGGACCTTGGCTACCTACACACCAAAGCAAAATGGGACAGCTGTATTTCTCTTTCTCACAGTACTGACAATTCTCTAAAACTTGATGATCTTTTTGATCCTACACAGGAAATCCGGTTCCTCACCAACATAGCAACCCCTATACAGTTACTCTCATTCTACTGTTAAGCCCAGGAGAATAAATGTCATGTTTTCTAAAGTTGTGGACATATAATCTGAGCCACATTCTCATCTAAACTCTAGCCTCCCTATCACAGTACACATTTTCAATAATTTATAAGGACTTGAATAGTCCTTAAAAATCTGTGAAATAAATAAATGTTCCTAACAACTATCTCTCAAAGAGCATTTTGTGATTTGTCAATCACTTTCTCATGTGGTATGTCACTTGAATTTCACCTCAGTCCTGTAAGTTAGCAAACATAGTCGTGGTTATCTCTTTTTGAGCTTCACAGTTTTCTGCATTTCCACAACAAGTGACTGTCTGTGAAATGACACAAGAGCTGGAGCTTTTGTACACAAATGATGTGTGCTTCAGACTGCAAATAGTGAGTTGATGCTTCACTTGTCAAAACTAAAGTTGTTAAAACTATGTTCCACATCATGTGGTATCCTTTAACGTAAGACTCAGGAAACCAAGTGGCAGAAATGAACTTGGAAGTTTCTTCTGCCACTAAGTATTAGCTCCATTAATTTGAGCATGTGAAGACAATCTTTGGACCCAGTATATTGTGAATATGGTCAAATGAGATAGTGCACATAAAGCACAGAGCAGAATATCTGACATATACTTGGTTCTAAAGTTGCTATGCACTGTTTCATGATGAAGTGGTATTTATTTTTTTAAGTACCTAAAGAGACTCATAATTCTGGAGAATTCTTTTTGCCTTAAAAAACTGGCTCAAATGAAAGCTGATTTTTTTTTTCATGTTTTTACAGTCGTTTCCAATACAACCAAGTTCTCACTCCACTGGTCACCCTTTCTTTCCATGTGGGCATAGCCTTTCTGCATGTTTATTAAACATTTACTCAGGCCCCTGAATCATCATAACACACTTTTTAAAGTAGAACTTTTCAGGTACTGGGAATAACCCTTCCAATTGTACAGTAACTCCAAGAGGTTTGGGGAACTGTTCAGTGATACCATGAAAATTTTTTCTAACATCTAAGCCAATGAACTGCACCATTTGTCTCAGTCATATCCCATCCAGGATGGAAGAGAACCAGAGAAGGAATCCTCTTTACTCACCCAACACAGATTTCTCTAAAGCTTTGCCTCTTCATGAATGACAATTGAAATTCTAAAATAAGCTTACTTATTCGCTCTCCCTGTAGGTCTTCCTCGCAGAGTTCAAGAAAACCAATCAATTTTTCGCAATAAAAGCTTTAAAGAAAGATGTGGTCTTGATGGACGATGATGTTGAATGTACAATGGTGGAAAAGAGAGTCCTCTCCTTAGCCTGGGAGCATCCTTTTCTGACACACATGTTTTGCACATTCCAGACAAAGGTATGGTTTCTGCTCAGTGACCTTTCTCCGCCAACCCCAAACTGTCCCAAGCCTGGTGCTTCTAGTGACATGCTCATTTAGAAATAGATGAAAGATATTGCCTGCATGTCATTCTTATTGACTTTCAGTTCATCTTTCATCCATCCATTCATCCAAATTCCATCTTTTCTTAACACCTTGGAAGTGTTGCTTAGAATATCTTAGTATAATTGGTTAAGAAACAGCTCTATTTCCCAATGGGTTTGCTGTTTGTTTCTTTGTTTTTTGTTTGTTTAGAGTTTGGTTTAACTTAGCATAACAGCCAGGCTTCTGAATAATCACTAAATTCAGGAAAAAGAAAATTAGCTAACACCTGTTCATTCGTCTATTATCGCAGTATTTGAAGAAAAAAAATGCTGAAATATAAATTCAAATGCATGTATTGTTATTGTCCTTCCAGAGGAAAAACAAGCCCTAGAAGTGGGCTTCATCAGCAAGCTAGCTCCTGAGCAAGAAGCAGTAGGCAGATGTGTCAGCATAGCTATTCATCTTTGAGCTCCTTCCTTATTCTAACTGTACAATTTCCCTTACTATAACAAGACCTGTTCAGGATCTAATTTATAAGGAGCTAAGGTTTATTTAGTTCTCAGTTTGGGAAGATCAAGTCCAACATTCGCATTGGATACCTCACTGGTTTGGCATCCGGTGATGGACATCACTTGGGGAGGAATGATCTTGTGAAATGCGAGGAAGCAAAGAGAGAGATTGTGTCTGAATGCAGGCAGGCCTTGATAACAACCTTTTCCTGAGAACTTCCTATTCATAGCTAATCTCCAGTGTCTAAGGGCATTCTCCTGGTTCCAGTGTACTATGACTTGGGAGTTTAAAGTTCTGCATGAGGAGCAGGTGCAACAATTAAGACGATGCTTGATAAATGGGACAGCTGGAGTTGTGATATAGCGAGTATAGACATTGTCTACAGCACAGGCATCCCACATGACCAAAAGTTTGTGCCCTGGTTACTCCACTTCTGATCCAGCTCCCTGATGATAGCCTGGAAAGAAGCAGAGTAGTATGGCTTAAGTGCTTGGGCCCCTGCCACCCATATGAGAAATCCAGATATGGCTCCTAGAACCTGGCTCCTGGCTTTAGTCTGGCTCAGTCCCAGATGTTGCAGCCCTTTCAGGGATGAATCAACAATTAGAAGATTGTCTTTTTGTCTCTCTCTCTCTAGACATGACTTTAAAATTTAAAAATAATAATATAAAAAGAAACAAATTCCGGCTTCCTACTATTGCACATCCTGGAAGTAGCAGGAGATGATTCAAATTGTTGAATCCCTGTCACCTCTATAACAGACCAAACCTTAGTTTCCAGCTCCTATCTTTGACCTGGCCCAGTCCCAGCCACTGTGGACATTTGGGAAGTAAATTGGTAGATGAGCATAAATGAGGTATATCTAGCTCTGATAAATGAAAGAATAAAAGCTTTTTAAGGTCCTGCACAAATTCACATTCAAGTCGCATTCAAACCAAAGCACCAATCTTTATCAGAAGTCTCCATTTTTCTAAAGGGTTTTTGTTCTAATCTCATTTTCTCTTTAAAAAAAATGTTTTAATGCTCTCTCCCCTCTGTTGTTCCTGATTCAAATTTTATAGATTTGTAGAACTGAGAAATGCTTATAGATTCCAATAAAATAGCTTGCTTTTACCAGTTGGATGTAGTCAATCTTAAAGGTTTATCTTTCTAGATTTCCCCTCATCGATTTATTTCAATAAAAATAGCAACATACTGTAAATATCTGCTGTTCTGTGGTTTGCATTTTTATGTCACTTACATTCATTTTTTCCCATCTGTGTACATTCTCCTACAGATTGATTTACCTAATTAGAAGCTTCTTTTTACTCCCTCTTAAATAACCTTGAAATGAGCCCTGTCATTGGTCAACCTCTATACATGAGCATTATGCTTTGTCTCTCCTGGTTTTCCTTAACTTGTTAAAACATTTTACAATCTCAGTTTTATCTCAAAAGTAGAGAGAGACACAAAGACAAAGAGAACTGTATTTCTTATCTGCTGGTTCATGTCCCAAATACCCACCAGAGCAGGGCTGGGATAGGTAGACACCAGGAACCCAGAATACAGTCTGGATTCCCCATTGCTTGTGCTGTTACCATTCTCTCTCAGGATATGCATTGCAGGAAGCTGAATTCAAAGTGGACAAGCTGAGACTTGCAGCTGGCACTCTGATACGCTGTGTGTATTTCCCAAGCAGTGACTAATCGTGGTTCCAAATGCCCACCCTGCTCCCCTCACTTCTCTGCCCTCCTTTACACTCTCCCCTTACACAGACTCATGAGAAACCTTGTGACTGAGGGCCAAAAAGGATGAAAAGTGAGGTTTATGGCCTGCTTTAATTTCAAGCCAGGGTGACCTTAGCAAGAGTCAGAGGTGACCTGGGGTGCTTCTAGCCACAGGAAAAATCTGGAGGCATTGCAGGAATCAATCGGAAAAGATGGAAGGCTACTAGATTTCCATCATTGCTGCTGCAGCTCCCCAAAGATAAAATACACATTTTTGTCAAATATATGTATATACATAGACTTTTCCTTTTTCTACAGTTATGTTTATTGATATAAAGGGGGAAAAGTAATGTATCTCACAGGTGCAGTTTTTTAAATATTTTTTTAAAGATTTATTTTTATTATGTTTTATTGGAAAGGCGGATATACAGAGAGGAGAGACAGAGAGGAAGATCTTCCGTCCGATGATTCACTCCCCAAGTGAGCGCAACGAGCCGATGCTATGCCATTCCGAAGCCAGGAGCTTCTTCCGGGTCTCCCACGCGAGTGCAGGGTCCCAAAGCTTTGGGCTGTCCTCGACTGCTTTCCCGGGCCACAGGCAGGGAGCTGGAAGGGAAGCAGGGCTGCCGGGATAGAACTGGCGCCCATATGGGATCCCGGGCGTGCAAGGCGAGGACCTTAACCACTGTGCCACCGCGCCGGGCCCCACAGGTGCAGTTTTAAAAACATATTGATACTTTCCACTCTATCCCACTTCCCTCTGATTCTCAACTTTCTTCCTCCTTCCTTCCTTATTTTTCTTTCACTTGTTAAAATGACATACTTTCTATTTTTTTATACTCACAAGCTTAACCCTGTACCAAGTAAAAAATTGAGCAAGTAGTAAGTAGAAAATGCACTGTTCCTTAAGAACATAGACAAGGCTCTCAAAATGTCAGTTTCACACAAATGCATTACAGTTTTTGATCATTTTAAATTTTTTGGCTAGCATATTTTCAATTTACGTTGTAGTCAAAAGTTTAACTCTCCTTTAAATAAAGAGTTCAGTAAGGAAAATGACCATAATCCAGCAGGAACCTAGGTATGGGCCATATATAACATTAAATGAAAAGTTATCGAACTTACCAATATATAGTAGCAGTAACACTTAAAAATTTGACAAAGAATCAAGCCAAAATTTTGTTTTGGATTTTTGGGTTTTGTTTTAAACATTTACTTATTATTATTGGAATGTCAGAATTATAGAGAAGGACAGACCCAGAGAAAAAGAGCTTCCATCCACTGATTTATTCCACAAGTGGCCGCAACAGCCAAAGCTGATCCAGTGCAAAGCCAGGAACCAGGAACTTCTTCTGGATCTCCCATATGGGTGTGGGGTCCCAAGGCTTCGAGCTGTCCTCCATTGCTTTCCCAGGCCATAAACAAGGAGCTGAAAGGGAAGGGGAGCAGCCAGGTTACAAACCAGCATCCATATGTGATCCCAGTTCATGCAAGGTAAAGGCTTTAGCCACCAGGCTACCACGCCGAGCCCCAAAACAAAAATTTTGACAAAACATTCTGTGTGCAGCAAAACTGATACACACAGGCGTTTCTTTCTATGTTTTTGTCTTTTGATTTTTCTTATTTGCTTAACTTTAGCTCCCAGATAATTATAAAAAGAGAACATGTGGAATTTGGCTTTCTGTGTCTAGTTTTTAACTCATTTCACCTATTTCACTCATTTGCGACCATTTGGATGTAAAAGCTAGAACTGAACTCTTTGCATAGCTGAATATTCCATAGTATGTTTGTGTGTGTATCACATTTATCCATTTACCTGGTGATGGACAACTTTGTTCCTTGTTTTGCTATTGTAAACCGTGCTGCTAGGAATATAGTGGTGCAGGTATCTCTTCGATAGAGCATGTTCATGCTTTTAGATGTACACCCAGTAGTGGGTTTGCTGGGTCATATGAAAAGTCTAATTCAGGCTTTTTAAGGAATCTCCTCCCTGTTTTCAGGAGTGGCTGCCCTGATTCACATCCCCACCAGCAGGGAGTAAGAGCTCTCCTTTCTCCACATCCTCCCCTGCATCGATTGCACCCTGGGATTTTAACTATTCTCACATGGGGTGAGATGGCAGAGAGGTTTTGATTTGTTTTTCCCTGATGGCTAGTGATGCTGAAATCTTTTTTTCGTGTATTTGTAAACCTTTGTATTTCTTCTCTTGAAAACTATTGAGCTCCTTTGACCGTCTTTTTAAACTGAATTGGTCGTTTTTATTATTTTTGGTAAATAAATGAAGAAATGCACTTGGGTAAAGAGAAGCCAGATCATAACAAAATACCGACTGAGCAGACACGATACTGGAAGCTTGGTAATGGATACACATCTATATAAGAGTCCTCGAGCCAGTGAATTTCGTACTCTAAAAGGGATAAAAGACTTAATACTACTAACAGTGAGGACAATATTAAATTAAGATGCAGACTCAAAGTACCAGAGCAGAGAAAAATTAGAAATTGGAATGCGAATAGGCAGAAAGGGTATTAGGCATCAGAGGTGGGGGTGCTGCAGGGGAAAAGATGAGAAGAAATGAGGGGGCAGCAATACACAAAAGAGTAAAGACATTCATTTCTTGCAGTAAGTGGAAGTTGGGAATTTCTGATAATGAGATTTTCTACCAATGACTTCCTTCCAGAGATGATTAATCCATGCCAGCCTGGGAGGGTGTAGGCT